TCCCCCATATTCTTCCCTGTATTATACCTGCACCCCAAGCTCCCCCATATTCCCTGTATTATACCTTCGTCACCCCCAGCTCCTCCATATTCCCTGTATTAAACTTAAAACCACCTAGAGCAGCCCCATTTTTACTGTATTATACCCCCATTATGACCTACAGCACCCCCGTATTCCCTCTGTTATTCTCCTTGCCTACAACACCCTCGTATTTCCCATTTTCTCCTTATCACCCTCTATGTCCCATATTTCCTGCATTACATTCCTTATCAACCACTAATGTCTCATATTGGCTGCCTTATACCCCTCATGTCATAACTTCTGTCTGGCCCCCCTCATTTCCCTGTAACTTCACCTCCATCAGCCCCCCCTGTTTTCTGCCTTTCCCCCCACTTGTTATCAAAGCCCACATCAGCCCCGCATGTTATCAACAACAGCCCCGGCTTCCCTTGCGTATTCCCCTCATCGTTGCCATCCTGCTGCTGTTATCTTTCCCATACGACCAACTACATGTCATTTCCTGTTAATGCTTTGGTTGGCTCATCTTCCCTGTTTATCACTCGGGTCATCCACATCTCATATATTCCAAACCCTTCAAATTGGTCCGCCCTGTGAACACGCTCTTCCCAGTCAGATCTCAAGCTTGATATCCAAGCACAGCTCCATAAGAAGTAATTGACTGAGCCCAGTTGACTGTAATCGCAAAGCAATGAGATGAAGAGGAGCACGGGAGGGGATTTATCAAAACTGGAGCAGACAGAATCTGAATCAGCTTCTGTATTTCATTTTCAAAGCTTACTGAACCAACCATTTCCCAATGTTCAACCACTTCAGCCCCAGGTTTCCTGGCTCACTCATGTACATCACCCAGTCTTTTGGGTCAGCGATGACCCCTCTGATATCTCACATTCCCCTATTCATTGTAGTAACCATTATGTGTAGACCTACATGAACTTCCTGTCATGTCTTCTGTACATATTGCTTTTTGCCGTTCTCATCCCCTGCACTCTGCTTAACTTTTCCATTCACCACCGTTCTGTACATGGTCACCACTTGTCCCATCAGCACCCCTAGCTACTGCTATCATTATTAATCCCCTCCCCCATTCACCCTGCTTACCTTTCATCTTAATGGGCATGTTATACTATTTCACCCTTCTCCCCCATCACTGTCATTGGGGTAATAGATCATCCAGATGACTCTCCATAAGGTACAAGGTACTATAGGAGGAATTTATCAAAACTGGAGCAGTTGCCCATAGCAACCTATCAGCTTCTATCATCACTTTATGGCGTTAATCTTTGAAAATGAAAGAGAGAAGCTGATTGTTTGCCATGGGCAGCTGCTCCAGATTCTGTCTGCTCCAGTTTTGATAAATTCCTCCTAGATGTGCTTTTTTTTTTCCTTCTGGGTTTTTGATCAGAATTAGCTGTTTACACGAACCCATCAGGAACTTTATGTGGCTAAGCTCAGGTGAGATGAGCCAGAAAGGTTCAAGTGTATTTACATTCTACCTTATGGATTGGATCACTTTGGATGGTATGTTCGTTCCTCCCATGTTCCATATCAATATTCAGTAGTGTCACAGCTTTCATCTTTGAAGTCACCATTCATCCCAGTCACCACTCCTCTTTCTATATCGCCCTCCTGCACAGCACCGCTGTCTCCTGTAATCACCATTCATCCCAGCCACCGCTCATCTTTCCATATTGTCCTCATACACAGCACCGCTGTCTCCTGTAATCACCATTCATCCCAGTCACCACTCCTCTTTCCATATTGTCCTCATACACAGCACCGCTGTCTCCTGTAATCACCATTCATCCCAGTCACCACTCCTCTTTCCATATTGTCCTCATGCACAGCACCGCTGTCTCCTGTAATCGGCTCATCTTTCCATATTGTCCTCATACACAGCACCGCTGTCTCCTGTAATCACCATTCATCCCAGTCACCACTCCTCTTTCCATATTGTCCTCATACACAGCACCGCTGTCTCCTGTAATCGCCATTCATCCCAGTCACCACTCCTCTTTCCATATTGTCCTCATGCACAGCACCGCTGTCTCCTGTAATCACCATTCATCCCAGCCACCACTCCTCTTTCCATATTGTCCTCATGCACAGCACCGCTGTCTCCTGTAATCGCCATTCATCCCGTCGTCCTCCTGTTTCTAATGTATCATGTGCGTTCTTAGTGAAGTTATATGGGACAGAGGTTCGTTACAATATCACTGTTATAGGAAAACAAAAATAGTAAGGCTCTTATGACTCTATTAGTATGCGGTAACGTGCATGGTACCACAACGCATGGTCATGAGCGTTGGTGCAATGCAGAGCCATGCACCTATTCAGTCCATTTGAGTTGCACTAATTTGTATTGCCTTGTGCGGCTGAGACTGCTCAGTGCACTTTCTGGTGCGTTAGGCAGCATGTTCAAATGAATGGATTGCCTTAACCCAACATGCGTGCGCTAATGCATCACAACAGTGTGCACAAGGCCTTAATCTTTATTTATTTTTTCTGTAAATACAATGAACACATTCTATTTAAACTACCTCTGTTATGTAATGTTAGAGTTCCTTACAACCTCACAGAGAATGGGCCTATAATAAGTTATATTTTATATGTGAAAGTGACACTAAACTCTTGAAAATACATTCAAGTACCTTTTTACTATTAACATAAATGCATCTTATTTGTGTATCACTCGGCTGTAGATCCTCAAATCTCTGAATTGGTGCTGACACTGTCCTTCCTCCTGGAGGGTCGCTACTTTTGTTCCCCATGGTCCCTGTGTGTTGTAAAGTAGCCACCGCTCCAAGCTCGCTTTCATATTTGTTCAGACGTTATCTGGGGTCGGCATCTTATTTCAGTGAGATGCTGGCTCATTGATGACACAATTATTTATGTCCTGCTTCCTGTGCAGCTCTTGTCACAGATCAGCCTCATTCTGGAGCCTTTCACCTTGTGATGCTACAAAGTTACAATGTTAATGTTGCAGTGTGATTGCTGGGAGGGGAGATGCTTCCTGCTGCAGACTGGTGACACCGTGTCAGTCTGGGCATAGTCACTTGATGGGGGCCCAAGCACTGTTTTGATTGGGAAAGCTATAATATGCTGGAAAATGATACAGTTGTTATATATTGTGACATTTAGGATTTTTTTTTCAAGCAGACAAGTTACTGTTTAATTTTTAAAGTAAATAGTATGTCACAGTCCCTTTGACAATGCTGGTTGCCTGGCTGTGACTTTACTATTTAAAAAAACCCCAAAAAACTACACAAGTCATTTTTTCTGTAAAGAAAATCCTAGTTACCGGTCCTGCCGCCTGCGTTGCCAACTTCACTGTCTTGAGATGTATCTTCAGCATCCAGCATACATCCAGATGTCTGAGGCCTTGTCCCCCTCCAGCTTCTGCATCACCTCTGTCTTCTGTTATAATGAAGTATACAGATAGCAGGGGATGCAGGCATCTGAGCCTCCTGGAAGTGACAGATGCAGAAGGTTTTTCAGTAAGCCTGACCTTTTAAAACAATGGATTTTGGTGGCATGAGCGGCTGGACAGGTAAATATTGTTAACGGAAATGGCTTTTTTTTTCCCCCTAGTTTTTCTTTTAGTGCCCGTTCACACCACATCCAGATCACCAGACCAGATTGTTTCTGGACCCAAAATGCATCCTTACGGCCTCTGTTCACACCAGCGCAGCCCGTTCCAGACCAGAAAAATACTGAATGTTTCATTTTGTCTGGTCTGGAACTGCAGTCAGGTTCACACCATTTTCCAGACAAGATCTGATCCGGATAATGGTGTGAACCTGCCCGCAGTTCCAGTGAGACTTTTTCTCTGGTCTGGTCTGGAACGGACTGCGCTGGTGTGAACGGTGGCCAGAAATGGCATAGGGATACATTAGGATGCATTTTGGGTCCGGAAACAATCTGGTCTGCAGATCTGCATGTGGTGTGAATGGGCCCTCAAACAAATACTAGTATGTAGATCAGTTTTGACTTCATCAATTGCATTCTTGTTTCAGGTCAGTGACTAGAAACGCTGAGGCCAGGGAAAGCCCGACGACTAACTTTTTCGGAAGGTGAGCAATGACGACCTCCATATTTTTTCGTAAAGGTTGTTATGTTTTAACTCTTATCACAATGTCAATTACAGTAATCTGTATTACGCCATCACTCCTTTTTTCCCAAAATTCTCCTTGCTGCCATTTTTTTATTATTTTCCATCTTCTTATTCTCAGTAGATTTTCTTTCATAGTTTTACCTACAACAAAATTTGGCACTTGAGGATGGTCTCCTACTCCTCTGTTCATGTGGTACAAGCAGGGCTCCATTCACACAAGAGCGGTGTTCCGCATGTAATCGGCCGTATTGCATTGTTCAGACTTTTGCGGTGGCCTCGCGGTATGAAAATGTGCAGCCCGCAAAATAGTACAGGTATGATTTTTATATAATGGCTGCAAACGAGCGGAACCTGCGCAGTTAAAATTATAGCGTTTGCGTCCCATGCGGTCTTCCGCACGGAAAACCGCACAGGGAACTGTGTGTGTGTGTGTGTGTGTGTGTGTGTGTGTGTGGTGTGTGTGTGTCCTTCGGACTGTCATTGATCACCATCTGGCTGTATTTCTGCTCAGGTGAGAGTGATAAAGTACTAAGTAGGTAGTGAACACCTGTGTTATCCTGAGTATAAATTAGAGTTAAATGAACACACTTTGCCAATGCTTCCCAGGTTCTCAGAAACAGACGTTTCTGTATAAAAGAAGTTGGTCCTTCCAGATGAACTCCGGGATAAGCACATTTCATAAGCACATAAAGCTGGCCATACACCTTACAACCATCGCAACACTTTTGTCTTGCGATGGTCGTAAGTTTATTAAAAGCTCGTACGATCTGCCCATCTTGGACAGGCATATCGTACTTGCGATCATCGAAAGCCTGCCCCGCTGAGGGGCGGGCTTCCGATGACCGCAGTAAGGGGTGGGCTTCCGATCACTGCAAACGGGCAGTGTGCGCACTCCGGCCCAGTTTTCCAACAAGCAGGCCACTAACCCGCCGAGAATCGTACGATTCCCAGCGGGTTTTCAAGCCTGCTTGTTCGACGGAAGACGTGCGACCGTACAGTAGAAGCGGTCGCACGCCTTCCATACACTGTACGATTTTCCTAAGATCTATGGATTTCCCGCTATTCTCGTATGAGAATCGTACAGTGTATGGGCACCTTTTAGAGGCATGTGTGTTCTTGAATCTTGCTAGCCTATGTGTATTTCTTTAGATCGGTGCACTAATCCTGTCTGACATTGTGCAGGAGTTTCCTGCAATCAGGACCAGTCACTGCTGTTCTTTTCTTGTGCAAGGTGACTGGTCATTTATCTGCCTCCTCTGTAGTTTTCTGCAGGCAGTCTGTAGTAGGTGGGTCTGCTTAGTACCAGCACTTGGCTGAGCACTTAGTCATCATGTTCCAAACAGCTACAACTCTGTTTCTGAACTTTGTCCAGTGCAAGATCTTAAGGGACAGAGCACAATCTCCATCAGTCATCTGTTAGCTGGGAGGAGAGGGGAGTGTCTTGCCTTGCTGTTCCTGTGTATTTGTGAATGGTGGCTCCATAGGACCCTGCAAGGGAAAGGAGCCAACCTAAAGCTAGCCATACACCTTACAACCAAGACGAGAGTCTTGCGATGGTTGTAAGGTAATTAAATAAACGTACGATCTGCCCATCTTGGACAGTCAGATCGCACTTGCAATGCTAATGACTGCAATGCTGAACGGGCAGTGTGCGCTTGCACGCCTTCCCACGATGGTACGATAGTACGATCGTGGGATTTCCCGCAATTATCGTACGTTAATCGGCAGCTGTATGGGCACCTTAATACAGGATATCCGGGTCAGTGCTCGGGACCAGCTGATCTTTCCAGGAAACTAAAACGTTTATACATCAAGGAGCAGCATCCATTGTAAGTGATTTCCTCAGCATTTGAAATGGCTTACAAACATTTTGAATATCACTATAAACTGGCCATGCACTGTTCTACTTTTTTGTTTAAACTGCGGGCCGAACAAAAAAATATAACCAAATGCTCCATCTATTCTATACAGTGTAAATGGACAAGGTTCCGCTTTTGTATTCTAACAGTGGCAGGCATGCTGCTGTTGGAATACCTCAATGGTGATGGCCGCCTATTCACTGCAATCACTGTTGACTGAAAAACTCTCTGACCGGCACCTTCGATTTTCCGATCAAAGGATGCTGAATAGAAGGCTGCGGACTGGGCCACCCACTGAGCGAATTTCAGCTGGTTCTTCAAGAACTGGCCGAAATTCACAATGTATGGCCAGCTTTACTCTGTGTGCTGCCTAAGCTCCCCCTCTGTGCTCAGTCCCGGAAAACATTTATTATTGGCACACAGTCAATAACTTACAATTTTTATTCTAATTTTAACTTTTCTGGGTATTTATTTGTGGTCAACTTGAAAATAAAATATCTACTAACGGTATTTTTAATGCATTTTTCAGTGAATTAATAACTGGAATTTCGGGTGTTCTGTGGGTACCTGGAGTTCTATTCGGTGTTATAAGTATAGTTGCAGTTGTGGCTGCATATGATTTATTTCCAATTACAATGACCTTTACTGTCACACTGCAACTAGGACATCGGAAATGCATTTTATTTGCAGAATGTGATTCTGTTGTCGGCTTGAAACTTTCCTATTTTAGATTAGTTTATAGATGTGTTTATAGTTTAGATTAGATTAGTTTATACATCTATATAGTTTATAGATGTGTTGCTTATTAAGGATTGACAAAAGTATTGGGACGCCGGCCTTTACACGCACATGAACTTTAATGGCATCCCAGTCTTAGTCCGTAGGGTTCAATATTGAGTTGGCCCACCCTTTGCCACTATAACAGCTTTAATTCTTCTGGGAAGGCGTCTACAAGGTTTAGGAGTGTGTCTATGGGAATGTTTGACCATTCTTCCAGAAGCGCATTTGTGAGGTCAGGTACTGATGTTGGACGAGAAGGCCGGGCTCGCAGTCTCTGCTCTAAATCATCCCAAAGGTGTTCTATCAGGTTGAGGTCAGGACTCGGTGCAGGCCAGTCAAGTTCCTCCACCCCAAACTCCCTCATCCATGTCTTTATGGACCTTGCTTTGTGCACCGGTGTGCAGTCATGTTAGAACAGGAAGGAGCCATCCCCAAACTGTTCCCACAAATGGGAGCATGAAATTGTCCAAAATGTCTTAGTATGCGGATGCCTTAAGTGTTCCCTCCACTGGAACTAAGGGGCCAAGCCCAACCCCTTAAAAACAACCCAACACCATAATCCCCCCTCCACCAAACTGAACACTTGGTACAATGCAGTCAGGCAAACACCGTTCTCCTGGCAACCGCCAAACCTAGACACGTCCATCGGATTGCCAGACAGAGAAGCGTGATTCGTTGCTACAGAGAACACGTCTCCACCTCTCTAGAGTCCAGTGGCGGTGTGCTTTACACCACTGCATCCGACGCATTGCACTTGGTGATGTAAGGCTTGGATGCAGCTGCTCGGCCATGGAAACCCATTCCATGAAGCTCTCTACGCACTGTTGTTGTGCCAATCTGAAGGCCACATGGAGTTTGGAGGTCTGTAGCTATTGACTTTGCAGACAGTTGGTGACTTCTGCGCACTGTGCGCTTTAGCATGCGCTGACCACGCTCATTTTACGTGGCCTACCACTTTATGGCTGAGTTGCTGTTGTTCCCAGTTGCTTCCACTTTGTTATAATACCAGTAACAGGTGACCGTGAAATATTTAGTTGCAAGGAAATATCACGGAACACCTGAATCCAATGATTTGGAGGGGTGTCCCAATACTTTTGGCAATATAGTGTAATGTATGTGTGCAAAACATTTCGGTATATATTGCCATCTGGGAGAGTTAACACTCTCTTATTATCCTGATCACTAATATCAGGAATGAAAGTGAGCTTAAATTCAACAAATTTTAGTCATCACCAGAAAAGGAATAGAGTGGAAATCTTCCTATGGAGACACTTGTTCCTGTGACGGCTGTCTAAGATGGGATTTCCCACGCATTAGAATGAAATCCTCTCCCTTCCTGTTGAGAGTACATGACAGGAATTGAAGTGAAATCTCCTTAATAAGCATCAGTCGGCAAAAAGACAGTTGTTTTTCTATTCCCCCTCTCTATCCAGAGTTGGGGGGAGTGGAGGGGGAAGTTGTAAACTTTGGGGCATGTTAGGTATTCTAATAGTGCTGATGCCATGAACAGTCAGTTTGCTTTGGAAAGCTGGATTATTGCTTTATTTGTTCTGTTCTCTGACACTACTATATAGAGTTTGGTGCACACCCAGTGATTTCTTTTATTAGATTGCTTTGTGTACAATATGCGCTGTGTTTGGAAGGGAGGTGGATAACTATGTAGATTGTTGTGAAGTAATGTTGCTGTGCTCCTTCCTCATGCTAGGAGATGGTTTGAGTCCAGGAATTACCACATTGTTCTAAGTGAATGGAAACAATCAACATATATTTTTAGATATTTTGTCTTCTGTATTTTTAGCAGTTGTCATTTTAACATAACAGCAAGTCAGAAATTGTGTGTACGTACACACAATCCATTAACATTTCAGCTTATAGCAGGGGTCTCAAACTATTTTCACTCAGGGGCCACTCAACAAATGGTTTTCTCTCATGGGGGCCGCTTGCCACGTTTCATACTTTAATATAAAATCTATCTATATCCGTTTTTTGGTACTACAGACACTAATATACACACAAGAAGGCCCCATTCATAGCTGTAGGTTTAGGTGTGATTAGGGATTCCTGCATCAGAAACTTGCGTTTTCCTGCAGTAGGAATCCCTGATGTGACGTTTACAAGTGGCAGCTATCACTCATTCAAGTTATTAATCAGGTGACAGCAGGTGCATGTAAACGCCTGCATACCGCATGTAGTGGTATGCGATATGATTACATGCGGTTAAGAATCACTCTCCCTGGATGCATAATCATTGCGTCCAGGGAGGGTGATTGATTCCTTACCCCATGTAATCATATCACATACCATTACATGCAGTGTGCAG